GTTTAAAGAAGAAACGACTAACTAAAATAAAAGCGAGAAAAGAAAACAAAAATGTCGCACGCTTAAGAAAAAAAAACAAAGTGAAAATAGAGAAAAACACGCTGGATATCCAACAGGTACAATCTCTATTTATCTTCTCTGATTCTTCTCTCTATGGATTTTTGGGTTTGAGATCTTGAAAGATGGATTTGACGATTGAATCTCCTTCATTCTTGAGATTGAACTTCTCTTAACGTTAATTTGGGGGTCGAATGACTTATTCTCGTATTAAATGTTAGGTCTTGACTTGATTGAAGAAGACTTATTGGAGGACTTGATTCTTTGATCTTTTTGGGGAATTTTGACTTGAATAATGTTGACTCGAGAGCTTGATAGTTTTTCTCGAATCAAATGCTATGTTAGTTGAACTTCTTAATGAACACGGCTTGAATGTCGCTTGCACGTCGTTGATATTCTTTGATCGATTTGAAATGAGTTGAAGTCATCTCTTTACTTCTTGGGGAAGAGTCACCGCCTCTTTTTTTTTTCTTCTTCTTGGCCTTCTTCTTTATTGAACGGACTTCGCGGGTTTTCAATAACTTCTTCATATCTTCAAGAGGACTCTCGAGAGCTCTTGAATTTGATACTTTTATTTTTTAGATGTGTTTGATTTTTTGAGGTGTGATTTGTGGCATTGAGGAGAACCCTATTTATAGGTGTAGGAGAGAGAGTCTTGGAGAAGAAAACATCAATTTGATTGGTCTTTTATGATTTGATATAATCTTTTTTCTTATCCTAAGCTTTGACTTGGTGGGCAAGAAATAATAACTTTATAAATTAAATATCTTATCTGGATTTATGTCTTAAAATAAATAAGAACATTAATTAATAAAATATTGAAATTTTGATGTCTACAAATGCCTGCTTGAGACTTGTTCGCGGACAAAATGTCTTGGTAGTGAATGGGTCTCAAAATTTTGAATTTTGCTTGGACATGCAGATAGTTTAAACTCTTATCTAGGAGTTCTTCGGCTTGAGTTTGTAGATAGTTTAAACTCGTATCAAGGAGTTCTTCATTTGACTTTATTTGTAGATAGTTTAAACTCGTACCAAGAAGTCTTGATTTGATTTAACAGATAGTTTATACTCGTATCATGGAGTTCTTTATTTGATATGATTTGTAAGAGTTAATACTCGCATCAAGGAGTTCTTGATATGGTTTTACAGATAGTTTATACTCGTATCAAGGAGTTCTTAATTTGTAGACCTTTTATTCTCGTGTCAAGAAGATCTTGGTTGACTTGTAGACCTTTTATTCTCGTGTCAAAGGAGATTTATAGACCTTTTATGCTTGTATCAAGGAGCTTTCGAATTTGTAGACATTTTAAACTCATGTCAATGAGCCATATAGATAGTTTAGACTCGTGTCAAGGACCATTTGCATATGTAGATAGTTTAGGCTCATATCAAGTAGCATCTGAATATGTAGATAGTTTAGACTCATATCAAAGAGCACTGTAGATAGTTTAAGCTAATATCAAGGAGCGTTTGAATTTGTAGATATTTTATGCTCATATCAATGAGCATTTCAATATGTAGATAGTTTAGGCTTATTTTTTTATTTTTTTTTGTAGATAGTTTAAACTCATATCAAGGAGCGTTTGAATTTGTAGATATTTTATGCTCATATCAAGGAGCATTTCAATATTTAGATAGGTAAGGCTCATATCAAGGACCATTATAGATAGTTTAAGTTCATATCAAGGAGCGTTTGAATTTGTAGATATTTTATGCTCATATCAATGAGCATTTCAATATGTAGATAGTTTAGACTCATATCTAGGAGCATTTGAATTTGAGGATTTGATGGAGCATTTCATGTAAATTGCCACCATGGAATTTGAGAAGAATATGGAAGCCCACTTTTGTTTCCTCCATCCCGATGTTTGATGAACACAGCGATTTTCAACGGATTCATGGTTTAGGAAGACATCATCCTTCGTTGCCCAGTGTACATTTTCTCCACAGAGGTCTTCATGCATCTTCAAAAATCTTCGAACTTGATTTGGAGAGAAGAGATGAGAGGTAGAGAAAGACCCACCGGGCGTGCCAAATTTGTGACAATAAATTTTACTTCGAGTCCCACTGGGCGTGCCAAATTTGTGTCAATAAATTTTATAGAAAACATAAAATTTTTGTACAACTTGAATATATTTAAATCAAACGATATTGCGGTACAATGTCTATTTATTTTCTCTGATTCTTCTCTTCATGGATTTGGGTTTGAGATCTTGAAAGATGGATTTGACGATTGAATCTCGTCTTCATGCTTGAGATTGAATTTCTCTAAGATTACTTTGGGGGTCGAATGACTTATTCCCGTATTAAATGTTAGGTCTTGACTTGATTGAAGAAGACTTCTAGGAGGACTTGATTATATGATCTTCTTGCGGATTTTGACTTGAATAACGTTGACTCGAGGGCTTGATAGTTTTTTACTCGGATCAAACGCTATGTTAGTTGAATTTCTCAATGAACGCGGCAAAGTTGTTGATATTCTTGGATCGATTTGAGAGGAGTTGAAGTCGTCTTTTTACTTCATGAGAATGAGCCGCCGCCTCCTTTTTTTTTTTCTTCTTGACCTTCTTCTTCATTGAACGGACTTCGCGGTTCTTCAAGAACTTCTTCAAATCTTCAAGAGGGCTATTGGGAGCTGTTGAATTTGATATTTTTATTTTTGAGATGTGTTTGATCTTTTGAGGTGTGATTTTCGGCATTGAGTTATAAGTGTAGGAGAGAGAGTCTCGGAGAAGAAGACATCAATTTGTTTGTCCTTTGTAATTTAATATAATCTATTTCATTATCCTAAGATTGGTAGACAATAAATAATAACTTTATTAATTAAATATCTTATTTATCTTAGATTTATGTCCTAAAATAAATAAGATCTTCGTCAAGTGATATCTCTTGATTACAATTGCCTTGATGGAAGCCAGCCGGCCTTTTATCCGGAAACTTAATTTTGTTCTTTTTATTTTTTAATAATCACAATTCGATGGTATATATAGCTTAATCCATCCTACCGACGTAACCATACTTGCTAGTTGCTATGTTCAGTCGCAACTCAGTTCCTCATATATATATATATATTATGGATTACTGCTAAGGAAGCTGTGGACACGATTAGATATCAAAGTCAAGGGCAAATATTAATTTCACGAGTAGTTTTCATTTGGGCCCCTACCAACGGGCTTTAAAATAGCCCATTAACTACGTGGGCTAAACCCTAGTGACATCCGTATCACCACAAGAAATGCAAAGAGTAACCTATATATAGAGAAGAAGTATATATTTTTTTAAGATGATCATTATATATCAAACTAGTGTGGTACCCGTGCGATGCACGGTGGGCGCATTACTTAAAACATATTGAAATCCTTATTTAAATGTAATTAATTAAATTTAACACATCTTATTATGCAAACATAATTAAAATAAAAATCATATATTATTAAAAACTTCTCTGTACACAACATTATTTGTAAGATTCGGAGGCGACTCATCGTCACCACATATTAGAATTTTCAAACCCTTTCTGTTGGTGACGCGTGAAACAGCAACATATAACTGACCATGACTAAAAATTGGTTTCTTCAAGAATAAACCAACGTGGGATAACGATTGACCCTGGCTCTTGTTAATAGTCATTGCATAAGAGACCACGATTGGGAACTGCCTTCGTTGAAACTTAAAAGGTATTCGTGCATCCGAAGGAGTTATCGTCATTCGAGGTACCAACACTTTTTCCCCTGCATGGTCTCCCGTTAGTATCCTACATTCTAGGACATGCTTGGAGAGTCTGGTTATAACCAAACGTGTCCCGTTGCACAATCCCATAGAATGATCCATATTGCGCAACAACATAACCGGAGTTCCCACCTTCAAATTCAACTCATGATTTGGCGTACCAGAACACTTGAGAGAATTTAAGAACTCAGGAGTGTGGATTTCTGACAAGAAGTCAGAATTCAAATCGGATTTACACGTACTGTCGGAGCTCAAATAGACACGACCTTCTGATAGATTCAACGACGACATGTATTGGTTGATAGACTCAACGATCTCCAACGTAGGCGCAAGTATGGCTCTATCCTTCAGATAACTTGGATCATTGGTTGCATTCTTGAACATTGGATACGTGCTCTCAACAATTGCAGCAATGGGATCATCAGATGGGGCTATTAACAGATCATCTGGTATTTCAATAGAAGCACAACCATCGTTATAACCTCCAATAGTACCATCACCAATGCTAGCAATCCAATCAGCAAAATTAGAAAGCTCCTCACGTTCATCTGAATCATTAAGGCTCTGAAGACGCATGTTCTTCGTTAGCCTAAGCACTGTACAATCTTCCCAAATGGTTGAAGCATTTAATGAAGCATTAACAATCTGTTGACGGTTCCCCTTTGGAATCACCGGGAGAATCTGTCGAAAATCTCCACCAAAAACCACAGTCTTGCCACCAAACGGTTTATAATGGTTGGTCTGGTTGACCGTTCCCATGACCGCCTGAAATGACGTTTGGACAGCTTCGAAGCAATGCTTATGCATCATTGGAGCTTCATCCCATATGATGAGGGCGGCACGTATAATTAGCTCTGCTAGAGGGCTAGCCTGGTTGATATCACACGACGAATTTTCGTGAACATTAATAGGTATGCCAAAGCGAGAGTGTGCAGTTCTTCCACCAGGCAACAAAAGAGAAGCTATTCCACTCGAGGCAACACAAAGAACAATCTCACCCTTTGATCGTAATCCAGCAGCTAAAGTCCTCCACAAATATGTCTTCCCGGTTCCGCCATAACCGTAGACAAAGAAAACACCTCCCTGACCTGAATCGACCGCTGCCATAATTTTTGAATAAACTCCTTTCTGTTCGTCAGTCATATCTCTAAGAAGAGAACTGTGCTCGACTGATAAGGCCTTGCGGTCATAACTTAGCTCATCCAAAATCAGACGATTTGTATTTATAGTAAAACTGGTCATATCAGGAAAAGGCATTGTTGGATATTCCCGAAGACTCGTACCGCGACGTCTCAACAAATGTTCGATTTCAGCGAGAGCTAAATTCTTTATATCTGATTCACTAACCTGCAGACCTAAGAACGAAAAGGATTCAAAGTCAGTATTTTATAAAAATGTAAAATAATAGTTAAACATTAGATGAAAATTAATCAAGTAAACAATAAAAAAAAAAATCTGGATTAAGTCACATACTTTCATCATTGAAGAGAATACGTTGCCTATAAGTGATGTCATCAGAGAGAAATTCCAAACACGTTTCCCATACGTGCTCGGGTCTACCTAACGATCCCGATACCAACAACGTTGCAAACATACGTCGGAGAGAATCAGCAGATGCCCAATGACTTGCCTCAGATATGCCATCAATGTACTCACGATCATCACCCAACAAACCTAGGGCATGGCAAGCATCGCGATACGACGAATATTGAACGTTGTCCACCTTCATATAATCCTCGTGGCAAGTTGCTCCCCGTATTACATTAACCAAGCACCTCAAATAGAAATTATCGCCCGCGTTAGGAGGAACATAGTGCAGACGGGCTATAGCGCCTTCCCTGATTCGAGGAGTCCACACTCTATCCGTTTTGTTCCAAACAAACTTCGTTGGTGCCTCGACATAAGTAAGCTCTCTCGCCTCAGGATATATCTTGTTTGCTTCCATCCAAGCTAAAAATTGACTTTCATTTACAGTGGGTTTTTTAATAACCTCATCAATCCGATCTTCATCATCAAAAATAACATAATGTTCGCCTTTCAAATGAAAACTCAAACGTTGTACAGGAGGTTTTTTGTACTGAAGTTCATAACCCAACAACCTCCAAGCCGCCTCACATGAAGAAACATATCTACAATCGTAGAACATGTTAATCTCGTCAACGGGCTTTTCCGGCTCTCCGTCTCCAGATGACTGATAAAACGTTGCGGTGACACGATCATTTCCCTTGTTGACATATTTGAAGAGGTATTTGATGGACCGAGACTGATTGCACCACTCAACATTAATGTGAGCACCGTATTTCATCAACAATTTTCGATTGTGGGGCACGACAAAACCGTTATGGACAACTACACCATTTTTCTCTACATGTCTTCCATTGTCTCTACGTCTGTACCGCGGATAGCCTTCATCATCAACAGAAGTTAATTCAAGAAATGGTTTCGGAAAACGTTTACTACATTTTCCATCGACCATGCACGGAGATTGCTTTCTTGCCAGTCCGCACGGACCGTGGATCATGTGTTCCTTTACAGCTTCATAATAATAAGGATCAGAAGACTCATCAGGTATCTCAGCAGATATAATCCTATCTATGTCGGACGGATCGGGAAACTTGTTTTCCTTTGCTAAAAAAAGCAGTATATGGGCATGAGGCAATCCGCGTTTTTGAAATTCAACAGTGTATACAACTGAAAAAAAAGGGTAAAAATGTCAATTAATTATGAATATTACTGTATACGAATTCAAATGAAATAAAACTAATTTTTTGAAAGAATGATCATACCTGCTGTTACTTGACCAAATATTTGATTCTCACGAAAATCCTTTATCAACTGCTTTAATTTTGATCTAAAAACTCTGCATACGATATCAGGACGATCCTCAGGACGTAAGTTCTTTGGGCCTAAAAAGCGGAGTATCTCGGGCCACTTTGGGTTGCATGTGAATGTTATAAAAAGATCGGGATAACCTGCCCATCTGCAAATCGCCATTGCATCCTGATAGTTCTGAATCATATTTCGAGCACCCCCGGTGAAAGTCGAAGGTAGAATTATTCTTTTGCCTCTAGATCCTGGATCGATATCACCACGAAGAACAGCATCCGCTAACCCATTGTACATGTCACATCGTAGGCGAGCTTGATTGTAACGGATATATCTCAATCTGGATGATTCAACCATGGTATATGCATCAACGACGAATTGTTGAAACAATCTCCTCGACGAAAGAATAGTGGATGGTTCATGATTTCTGTCGTGGATCCGATAAGCAAAATATTCCCTGATACTCACAGTTTTTCTGCCATCCTCTTTTACTTCTCTCAGATCGGAAAATGGGATGTCTTCTCGGTAACCATCCTCGCCGTAGGGCAACAATAGGGGATATTGTAAAGCCAAGTAGGAAGCATTAAGTTCATTGATTCTCTGTAGGCGTCCACTTTTGGTTTCAACCAATATATCCCTTTCACCCATTGCCTGATCAAAATCTCCAACGACCAAGGCAGCAACTTCAGAACTTGTAGGCAAGTTATAACATCTACCATCACTGTATCGCCTTCCAATTAGACGAATCTTGATATCACTTTGGCCATGCTGTTGAATTCTTTCCCTAGCCATACGAAATGACTTAACCAGTTGATTGTGCTCATCCAACATTAATGTCAAGCGAGCAACAATTTCCTCATGCAAATCAGAAATACCATCAGAGTTCCTATAAGAAATAGAAATTACAATATCATAATCAGATCCACAAATATATTATGAAAAATACATTACTATAGAATAAAAATATAAATAACCTCATAATATTTTTAGCAAGGTACTAACCTGACTGCATTCATTCTATTGGATAATTCATTATCCGTATCATAGATATAAAGTTGTGCAAATTTTGGAGTTGCACCTTCGGATGGAAGTAGACTACCCATAAGATGATAGTTTTGGCCGTGTAGAGTGAATACCGGAGGACCTGTACCATTGTTGATGCCTGCATCAATCTTCCCGCCCAAAGAAGTGAAGCCAAACATACTGTTATATGATCTGATATTATCCTGAAAGTGTTTGCTATTGCGGCTATCTCCATGTAAAAGCTCATGTAAATATGCAGGTGGATTATGGAGAACAGGCAGTTGTATCGCCCCGTTCATACAACAACCCTTATATTCAGGAGGTTCTGTTGCCTTTGTCGAAGACTTGCGCTCAACATACCAAAACAATGCCCCGCAATAAATACATTGACAACTTGCATCCCCCATGTCCCAGTATTCTAAATATTTAAAATTTAGAAAAACATATTAGGTTGCAACAACTGAGAATGAAAAAAAAAAAACAAATTTAATGCTTATTAACATTAAACATACCAGATTGGGTCGACGTGGATCCAATAATCTTTTTCGGTCTACCACGTTTTATTTGGGGAACGGGAAGGGGAGCAACATCATTCACGGTATGATCGACTACATAATTGAAGTAAGTAGGAAAAGAACTAATTAAGTCAAAAACATATTAAATTGCAACAAATGAGCTGAAAAGAACTAATATACTGTTTTATTAACGTAAAACATACCAGGTTGGGTCGATGTCGATCCAATAATCTTCTTTGGTCTACCAGGTTTTCTTTTCGGCACGTGAATGGGGACAACATCATCTACAGCGTGATCAACTACAATATTTTTTAGTCAGTAGGCAAATAACTAATTACGTCAAAACATATTAAATTGCAACAAATGAGTTGAAAAAAAATATATAATGTTTTATTAACATAAAACATACCGGATTGGGTGGATGTGGATCCAATAATCTTCTTCGGTCTACCAGGTTTTCTTTTGGGAATGGGAAGGGGGACAACATCATCTATAGGTTGATCAACTACAATATTGAAGTCAGTAGGCAAAGAACTAATTACATAAAAAAATATAACGAATTGTAAAAAAAAATAATAAAAAAATATATTAAATGTTTTATTAAAGTAAACCATACCGGTTTGGGTCAATGTGGATACAACAATCTTCTTCGGTCTACCACGTTTTCTTTTGGGAACAGGAATGGAGACAACATCATCCACGGTGAGATCGACAGCATCATGCAACTCAATAGGCAAAGACCTCTTTCTATTGCTATTAGTAGCAGGCATAGAATTCCTTGGAAGATGAACTGTACATTTTATTTATTTATTTATTTATTTATTTATTTATAACAATTAATGTATAAGTAATGAAATAATATAACGTTAAATAAAGAAGTTTTAATCTTACACGTGTTTGATTGGTTCGGAGGCATATAAGGCATAACTACAGAACCATCATAATTATCATTATCATTTGTAAGGTCTATGACAATGCTTTGGGTAATATCTTTTGGCAAATTTTCATTAGGTTGATGAACACGACCTGAAAAACAAATAATATATTTTATGTAGAAGGAAAGAAATTAATGTTGAATAATAATACAATTCAAATATATTCCCAAAATATGAATGACTTACTGTTTTCAACAGTATGTGCGATTTGATGCCTTTGGGTAGAAGAACAACCGATATTTAATTCTACATAGAACAAATAATAATAATAATAAGACTAAAACCATTAATTAAATTATAAACAATAAAAAAAAACATTTAAATACATTAAATGGAACACACCATGTGTGACACCAGATAATGGCGTGATATGAGGACTATGTAACACACTTTGATACTTATATGACATACAACCCAAATTATTTGATCTTTCTTGAGGAATCAAAGATGCTACATAGCTCGATGGTGAAGTCATACAACCTGTGTATATCAATATTTAATAAATGATAAATTAACAATGTATAATTTTAAAAAAAAAAAAAATTCTTACACACTAAGTAATTCTAAAAATGAATAAAGTATTTTATACCTGGTTTAGTATTGTATTTAGTATGAACCATTGGTGTGGAAGAACGACCTGTTCCAATCACTAATTTTAAAAACAAAAATTTCTTTAGTAGTATCATAAATAATAAATAATAAATATAATGCATTTTAAGTATGAAGGTCAGAACATTATACCATTTGTAACATCAGATAATGGTAACATCTGAGAACCATGCAACACACTATGATATTGATATGAAGAAATATTCGATTGACTATGCTTTCGTTGTGCAATAAAAGATGATCCGTTGACAACGGGTGGTGTCATAACACCTGTCAAAATGTAGAATAATGATATATTAGACATTTAAAAAATGATTTAATAATTAATATAACTTACTAATAATCTATAAAATTGTTTAATAATTTTTCTATAAATAATTTATTTTGTTTAATTTTAACACAACATGTAAAAAAAATAATGGATTTGATCATTGGCCAAAAGAAGTTAAAAAAAAAAGCCCAAAAATCGGCCATAACACAATACATGTAACTTAAACGGACCAAACAAAATTCGGCCCAATACCAAATCAACACTTAAACAGCTATCTGATACGATCCAACGGCGCGAATAGGTCAACATGATCGGACGGTCCAAAATCTCTCCCATCGATTATAAAAAGCAACATAACCCGATGAAATAGGGTTTTCCTCATTTTTGCGCCGATACTCTGCATCTTTTTTCGATTTCATCGTTTTGCACCAAAAAATCTTGATCTGAACATCATTAATCGGTTCTTTTTCATGCGTATCTTATAGATCAGAAGAACAACTACATATGATTTGTTCGACTGGTGGTTTTTTATTGTATTTTGTTAACAATTTTTTCTATTTTCTGTTTTGTTGCCTTTATTTGCCTTTTTATAAATTTTTTTTGAATTCCTTGCGAAAATTTATTCACAAACAATGTGAATCATCGGTTTTTTCGTTGGATCTTTAATTTTACTTGTTTTTTTTTGTTTTTCTTACAAAACCCTAATTTCTGCAACGTTTTTTAGCTTCTTTTTATTTTGTTTCAAATTTCTGTTTTTTTTTTCGCGTTCTTATGATATTTTGTAATATGTTTTAATGTATTTTGAATAATAACTTGAAATACGAACACGATTCTGCTTGAATTTATGGATCTGGTGTAATTTTTTAGGCTTTCGGTCGAATTCTGGAAAATCGCGGTCGAAAAAGATGAATTATTTTAAAAAAAAAACATGTAAAAAGTTTTTGATCCATATTCTATGTAAATTGATGTGAAATAGTTGTTTTTTTCTTGAAATAGTCGTTTGTCTTAATAAATTATAGTGATTTATAATGATGTTGTATGAAAATTCACCAAAATTTCGTTTGCTTTCTTAAACATATTATATGATTTTCGAAAAAGTTATCTATTTCGTTTGTATTTTTATGTATCGAATTTTCTTTTGTATGAAAATTTTGGTAAATTTTGTTTGCTTTCAGAAAAATGTTATATGATTTTCGAAAAAGTTATCTATTTCGTTTGAATGTTGAATTATCGAATTTTCGTTTGATTTCTTAAAAACGAATATATGTGGACAGACAAAATTGATCGAGCTCGACATCGAGCATGAATGTAGAGTTCTCGAGATCGAGCATGAATGTAGAGTTAGCAAGGGAATTAAGATGAAAGCATTCGAATATATACAATTCGGTAAGAGTACTTCCCTAATTCATATTAGTACTTATCTATTTCATATAAAAATTGTGCTTACTTATACATTTAGTATACTAACTGTTTACATATGTTAAATAAATCATATGCAATACATGAATATATGTACGAATTCCATATAATCAATCTTATATGCTGTTCATTTGGTTGCATGAGCACGAATTGGAGTCCTTATTCAAGAGTCGAACAAACTACTCAAGTCTCTATGGCAGAGTGCTTGGACTACAACATATTTCACAAGTACATCAACCTTAAAAAAAGATTGGGAAGAAATTACTCAATGAATGAACAATTAAAAGGTACAGTTACTATCTGATATCTACAACATATGTTAAATTTTAGTACAAATCAAAGTCTGAAATAAAAAAATTATCTGCTGCATACATATAAATTTATACATGAACATATAAATTGATTTCATACATAAATTAAAATAATGTTATATATTCTGGTTTGGTGTACACCAATTCTGATTTTTTCCTTATTTTTTTTTTTTTTTTTGTAAATTGTGAGTATGATGATGGTTCGATTGACAAATCTGAGGAATATGACGCATAGCTAAAATACAACATATCAGGTAAACAAAGACATCAAAGGTAAATCTCTTAACAAAAAACAAAAAATATTTTCTCAGATAGATTCATGCGTACTTTAACATGTCTTGAAAGTGAAAACTACCTTGTTCTTTTGGGTCATCTGTTGCTCTATCCCTGACTTGTGATTGTATGCCTCTGCCATCCCTGACTTGTGATTGTATGCCTCTGCCACCACTGTCATCATGATTATTTGGTTTGCTTGTATGGTTTTGAGTCATAATGCTTGCTACTCCACTGTAGTTGTGGTTTCTTGAAATATCTAAAAGAATGTTTTCTAAGAACTATAGACGCTCTCATCCGCAGACACGATTTGAAGGTTTTTAAGAACTATAGATATAAATGAGAAAAGATTTTGATATAATGATTATGGTGTAAAATAGGTTAAACGGAGAGGAAGTTGATATAGGTTAGGATTCTATTTATTAGGAAAAATAAATAAATACTTTATTTGTTTCCTAATATCTATAATATATTGGACGTGTGAATATAAAAGATAAAAGTAGTTTAGTTGAAGTTGGATTCTTTCATTTTATTTTATGGTATTCTGCTTTTAATAACTCAAGTATATTTGGAAATATATTAAAAATATATTCGTTTAGGAAATGAAGTTTATATTTCCATAAAATGACGTGTATGCAGAATAGACTAAAATATCAACGAAAAAAAGATACATAGTTATCTCTAACTAACAGATTATAGATTATATTAAATAAAAAACGTGTGGATATGTGTTTAAAATATCTCATAAGAGTAGTTATTTGTTTCCTAATAAAATAGGAGTTTTTTTTCGAAAGATGAAAAGATTTTATGTGAAGATATATTATATTGAATGAATAAAAACATAAAAAAATAAGATTAATAAAACAATTGAGTTATGACTAATCACGTGTGAATAAGTTGTGAAAATATCTTTAGCAATAGTTATCTATAACTAACTTATTAGATAAAAAAAAGTGTGGATATGTGTTTAAAATATCTTATAATAATAGTTATATGTTTCGTAATTGCTAAAATTTATTTGTTTTCCAACATTTCCTAACTGGGTGTATGCTAAATAGAATAGAAAATGTTGAAAAAAAAGAATAAGTTATACAATATATTTTGTTTACAATCGTGTATTTGTAAATTTCGATATTTGAAGTTTAGTTTAATTTGTAACATGATTGTTGATTATTTTTTTTAATAATTTGAAAAGTAAATGTTTAATTTGAGATGAATTCATATGAGTTTTATATTTATATATCCATATTTTAATAATTCGTTCAAGTTACAATATGCTCATATTTAAGATTGGAATGCACGTTTTTGTCAATAACAAAAAACTTTAATTTTGATTTACATGTTTTATTAATCTTGGTATGTTTAATGGAACTTAAGAAAACCAATTTGAGCTAATATTATAAGTCACTTTTGATATAAAAAAATTTAAGTAATGAAATAAAACATAACTAAACACATGATTAAAGGAAATTAGAAATTTTATTATCAATCATGAAATCTTGAGAACTATATGTTCCCAGAGAGAATCATGAGAAAAACATGAAATAAGCAAATAGCAAGTAGCCTATCAAAGTGAATAATAATATCCAAATACCAAAAAAAAAAAACCATCAAAGCAAACCAAACGAAATAAACTAAATGTCTTATTCATCTAAAATCAATCAACTAAAAATCTTTTTCTCCATTGGTTGGAAGCAAGTTTCCATCATCATCAACCTTTGCTTTTCCTTTGTTGCTTGTGACCGATTCATCACCAAATTGATCGGACAAGTTCCTCTTTGCCGTTGAAGTGTCGCCAACTTTGGCAGATTGTTTTATGTCCTTCAATGGTGTAGAGGCCTCATCTTCCAAAGCAGGATCCACTTGATTCGCCATATCTTCTTCTCTTTGCAATAGAGTCAAGAAATCTGACATCTTTTGAAATAAAAAAAAAAATTGAACATTAGTAGTTATATTATAAATAATAACATAATAAACTCGAAATTTATTATTTAGACTTACATCTTCTTCTTCAACCCATTGAGTATACTTGGNNNNTCAATATATCACAAGGTTTGCCAATAATCCTTTGACAATCCTTATCCCAACAAACTAAAGTTGCATGCGCAGAAGCATCGTGCACTCCAAATTGAATTTTATATCTAATGTTTTCAAAGACTTGTGTCATGAAGTACGAAAAAAATTAATAATATAAATCTAGAATGATCTAAACAACAAACCGAAATATCCCGCGATTGTGAGTGCATTTTCGACATCTATGATTGCCACCATCTGTCTCCATTGAACTACTACATCGAGTACATGCCAAGTACCACCATTCATCTATGATTGAATTAATTGTTGCACACACCCAAATGTCCTTAGCCTAAAATTAAACCATTAAATAAAAGAATAAGTAGTACAAAATGGAATAATATTAAATTTTGTTTTTGGAAATAGTTAATATTAAAAATTACCTCCACACAATCATGCAGAGAATCAACAGTACTAACAACGATGTCACCATCCTCGAGTTGTTGAATTTCGGTTTTGACAATAAACGAACTATTGGACACAATTTGGGTATTCCTCAATCTACCCGCAGCCAAACTAAAGGTATAATAATATGTAAACTTAGATATAATCAAAGAATATTGAATTAACATAATAAATATTAATAAAAACGTTTGATTGTATATACCTCCTGCGAAATTCAAGAATTTCGGGAACATCTACACAAATGATGAGAGTAACATCTTTTGATGTGGTGATTCTCACTTCCCCTAAAAAAAAAGGAATTAGGGGATTTGTTAATATTATTGGCATTTTCCAATATTCAAAATAAAATTATTTAGAGGATTATAAATAATAAATAAAATAAGATAATAAAATTACGATATAAAATTATTAAAATATTACCATCAAACACCTTGGCACGACACATTTGCATGATTATGACAAAAGGTTGTTTTTCTCCCATATAGTGATGCTCAATAGCAATCAATTGATCAACATATTGTCCCCAAAGGGTACAATTCTTCTTTTGTCCTCTAAAAAAATCGAAAAAAAGTTACTTCGAATTTAAAGCGGCTCGTACGAAAGTACGTCCACAATTTATAAAATGGTACAATAATAATTGACGAATTCAAATAAAAGTATTGATACAATTCTTCTTTATTTGTCCTAAAAAATGAAAGATGTACTTACTCCAAGTTCATAAGGGAGAAAACAATCATTTGAGTAGGCTTCCCCTTGACGATTTTAATTTGAATCGGTTCTATTTCGACAACAACGCCAATAACATCTATAAAATACACATAATAAATATTTAATTACGTGAAGTAAAAAATAAAAAAAAAAGAATTTAAAAATAATCATACAACAAATAAGCAAATATAGAAAATAAATAATTTAAATTTCGTTAACATATAAGGAATTTCGTGTATGACTTACCAAACAGCATAGTTTCATCAACATTGTCGATGTCCATTAAAGTTGCAAAATCCCTAAAGATAAAACGAAACGTAGGAAAAGGTTTAGGCCACTTAATAAATTTGGTATCCTTATTGATCACAAGCCTCCAAGTGCATATGGTCGTTTTGTAAATGCCCGTATTGCTTTCTACTTGGTAATTCTTGAGGACATAAACGACACCTTCCTCCACTTCGTTTATGAAATTAGCGACATGCATGGGTCGTACCAATGCGTTTATACGACCTCCCTAGAAAATTACATAGAACAAATAATTAGTTCGTAATAATGACTTAAATTGCTTTTAAAAAAATAAGAAAGTTAAAAAATATATATGTACATATTACCTCGGAATCATGGAAGATTAACTCCAGCGGATTTTTATAACCACGATCCTCATCACGTTGGAACGACCTAATGAGGCGTAGTTTAATGAATGGTCTATGAGTTCTTTTGAGATCTTTAATAACACCGAAAACAGGAGGCATTTTGGATAAATGGGAAAAGGAAAAAATAGATAATCGTTTGTGGGGAGTTTCTCTTGTTCAATTCGCGATATCCAAATATGAGACTCAAGAGGGGTTTATATAGTCAGTAAGTACCTTTAAATCTTAATCTTAATTTTAATCATAAACTTAATGAAATCTATGACCTTATATATTTTATATTTTCTATAATAAAAATAAAGAAAGTAAATAAAGTATATAAATAAAGAAGTACTTACACAATCAAAATTGGAAGTCATAAAAATCTCTTAAACGTGTGAATCTATTAAACGTGTGAATAAAATATCCGAAAAGAAAGAATCATAATCATAATCTGAATGAAATATATGAACTTATCTATTTTCTATTTTATATATAAAAAATAAGGAAAGAAAATAAAGTATATAAATAAAGTAGTACGTATAAATCAAAATTGGATGATGTAAAAATCTCTTGAACGTGTGAATCTCTTAAACTTGTGAATAAAATATCTGATAAGAATAGTTATCTTTAACTAAAATATTATTTATATTATATAAAAAAACGTGAGTTGTTTATAGATATCTATAGTTATCACACAATCTAGTAAACCATAGTTATCTCTAACTAACTTAGTATATCTATAACTAATCTCTTAAACTCTCATGTACGTAATATGTAATTCAAATATTTTGTTTAAAGATAATGTAATGTATCATATTTATATATTTACGTTGTTTTTTTGGAACAATGCTAAGTATCAAAAATAAATATTAAATAATTTTTATGTTAAACGGAATTTTAGCATATAAAAACAGGAATTTGGAAAAGCAATACAATAAATCCCATCATAAAAAATCTCAAGAAGTAAAATAATTATGGCTTATTATTAAATCCGTGTTATAACCATACAAATCTCCCAAATCACGTTCAGATATAAATCGCTTTAAATGTAATAGCAATATTGAAAAAATCGGATTATCAATCATTTAGGCTTATTAAAAATCTCATCCTAACTTGTTGAAAAGTATCCATGATTTTGGAAAAACTATCTCCTAAATCTCATCCTAAAAAATCTCGAACTTCTTAATCATTTAGGCTTATTAAAAAATTCGGATTACCAATCTCCCAAATCCCTTTAAAAAATAAATTGGTTGTATAAGTTTTGCTTCAATAAGTTAAATAATTTAGGCTTATTATAATATGGGTTTTCCTTCGACATACAATATAATGTATGAGTCCTTCTATTCGAAATTTATGTATAATCTTTTTCTAAAAAATTTATAATTAGAAAAACCGGATTTTGAGGCTTATAAAAAATCTCATCCTAACTTGTTGAAAAGTATCCATGATTTTGGAAAAACTATCTCCTAAATCTCATCCTAAAAAATCTCGAACTTCTTAATCATTTAGGCTTATTAAAAAAATCGGATTACCAATCTCCCAAATCCCTTTCAAAAATAAATTGGTTGTATGAGTTTTGCTTCAATAAGTTAAATAATTTAAGCTTATTATAATATGGGTTTTCCTTCGATATACATTAAACATTTGTTTTATTGAAAAACAAAAATAAATACTTATAATAATTGAGAGAAACATTAATTTAATATAAACAATAAACTCAATATAACGAAACATTAATTCCTAAACATAATGGTCTACGAACAAAAATTTAATATTTAATATAAATAAGAAAATCCAAGCAAATAATTAGTTCTCAAAATGACTAAAAATTAATAATATAATATATCTCATATGGTATTTCATGATTCACTTCTGATCTTCATTTTGTATTTTGGGCTTCCAAGGCCAAAATCCAAACCTCCCCTTTATCACTATTGATATCACCACCATGAAGCTCTTCTATTTGGCTCTTCATCGCGATCTTGTTGGTGGGGCTTTTCAAAAATCTGTACATTCAATTAATAAATAAATACAAATTTATAAAATTACATAATTGAAAATAACATAAAACAGAACACTTACTTTTCACGAAAATGCATAATTTCCTGGTTATTTGAAGCAATAAGTCGAGTGATATTCATGAAGTTACTCAAGTGCCCCTCACCTTTGCCAAAACAATAAACAGTAAGTTGTGATTTAAATTTATATTAAATAAGATTAATTATATGTATTATAAATTGATAAATAAAAAATATAATTACCTTCATAATATCTCAACCTACATAACTGAATGATGAGAACCCATGGTTCTCCATTTGAATTGAAGTTATTCTCATAAGTAACAAACTCATCCACATAATCATCGAATAGTGTGCAACGCATCACTATTCCGCTATATAAAATAAAAAATGAATATAATTAGATTTTAAAATAAATATCTAATTCATTAATAAGTAACTATGTAAAAAATACTTACTCTAAATCCAATAAAGAAAAAGCGATCGTTTTCCTCTCTTTTCCGTGAATCCATTTTGAATCAGTGGGATGAACATCAACAACCATACCAATAGTATCTTTAAAAATATTTAAAAATAATTAAACCATTATTTAATTAAGTAATATATTAACAGTAAGAAATTAAATTATAAAAAAAAGATGGAATGCAAGTTAAATGAAAGATTTACCATGAATATGGGAGTCATGGTCATGGTCAATATTTCGAAGTGACGCAAGACTTTCGAGCTCGAATTCCCATGTTGGGAAATTGGAATGCAGTTGAAGAACAGAAGTATCCCCGTCAATTATGACTTTTAGTTCATGATGCGTAGATCTATGTTTTCCAATATTAAATTCAAGCTGGTAATTTCTAATAACATAGACTCCATCTTCCTCAAATTCTCCAGCAAATATAGGCATAATTCGAATTATACCTGTTATGCGAGTACCCTACAAAACATAGAAATATGTTGTTAAAAATATATTATACAATATTCGTAAAACAAAATTAATTGAACAAATCTCATGAAAAAACATTACAAAAACCTCAATATCATGAAAAATAACTTCGAAATTGGTTGTGTCATTTGGATTGAATGATCTCTTGAAAATTCGAATAGCACGAAGCTTAAGAGAAAAATTCATATGACTCGTATTACGCTTAAGCTCTCTGATCAAGCACATTGTTTGGTTCATAATGTAGCGATTTACAGGCTTGGCGTATGAGAAGTTGTTTGTCTAACGAACTGATAGATAATCTTTTATATATTAAATATAAAAGACTTGCGGGAATAACCTATCGGTATAAATCACAACAAATTATATCTCACACGTGATTAAGGATATATATAAATAACAAACCTATAAATCACAACTAACCATTTATATCTTAAATGTGATTAAGGATAAATATAAATAACAAATTGGTATAAATCACAAATAACCTATTATATCTTAAATTAGCGTGCAAATAGAAACCAAGAAAAATAATCCTATGTTTATATGATAAAGATTAACGTGCAAAATTAAGTAAAACAGAATCACAAATTATAGGTATAGATTTATAAGAATCACACAATATCTTGAAGCATGTATGTATTAAAAATTGTATAGATATGATGTAAGATAAACAGAAATAATATCCGGTAGTTAATTAGATTTGATAATAATTAAGGATAAATATAAATAACAAATCGGTCAACCAATTATATCTGACACGTGATTAAGGATATATATAAATAACAAATCGGTATAAATCACAAATAACCTATTATATCTTAAATTAGCGTGCAAATAGAAACCATTGGAAAATAATCCTATGTTATATGATAAAGATTAACGTGCACAACATATTGAAAAAAGAATCACAAATTATAGGTATATATTTATAAGAATCACACAATATCTTGAAGCATAGTTTTAAATAACTAACCTATTATATTTATAATTAATCTCTTAATGTATGTGTTAAAATTTTTATAGATATGATGTAAGATAAATAGAAATAATATCCGGTAGTTAATTATATTTGAGATTTTTAGTAAAATTGTCTGATTAGGCACATTAAACACGTTTGATTAGGCACATTAAATAGATAACATGTTTGCTTTCAAATTTTAAAAAAATAAATAGTACCGAAAACCTATCATTTTTATTTGGGAATATGATACATATAAGTGTCCAATATTTTAATGAAATATCGTTTGTATAGACGCTATTAACATTGGTTTTGAATTTTAGTTTAAGAATTAGAAATTCAATTTAAGTTTTAAAATCAGAAATTTTAGTCAAATTCAATGTTTGATATTTAAATATTTAAGTATAATGTAGTTAATATTTACATTTCTATATACAGCCGTGTGTATATATAAACATTCAATTAATTTAAATTTTTTTTATTGAAGCGTGAACAACAAAACAAATTGAATAATAACTGAAAAAAAAATGAATAAAAAATGAACAACAAAATAAATTGAATAACTTCCATAATATTGCAAAAAAAAAAAATGAGGCAATGGTGAAGGACATGGAATAAACATAAAGATCACATAACGATTAGAAAGGTACGACAAAACTTGTAAGTATGGATCTAATCTTAAAAAATTAAAAAGACTCATGGAAAACGTCCATTCCATTTCATCACGCGTGTAATACTCATGAACACAATTTTCCAATTGTGCGGGGTTGCCCTTTGCCGTCGATTATTGGGTTTTAGTCCATAGTTTGCGATGCAATACACATCGCCTTCTTTAAAGACATCACGAAATAAGCCCAATTGTTTGTAACGTATTAATCCACTTATTTGTGTGCCCTACGATAAGAAAATTTGAACCGAACAAATAAATAAACAAATAAATTATAAAATTGAACGTATTAATGTAAATAGATTAAATATACAATATAAATAAATTACTGATGAAATTGAATAATAATTGAACAATAAATTGCATTGAATAATTTAATCGAATATTAAATGAACAACACATTAAATTGAATCGAATATTGAACGAACAACATATGTAAATATTACCTCTATGTCTTCAAATATGATGGCACGGAAATTCTTGGTCTCATCTTCATAATTTGTTTCAACTATTAGTGTAGCTTTTAATTTCAAGAAAGGCCTGTTCACTCTAGTAACGGCGCGGAGTGTATCAAAAACTGGTGCCATTTTTTTTTTTTTTTTTTTGTTTTTAACGATGTGACTTTTTTTGCAGATGTTTCGAAAAAGAAGTGAAGAAGACCTAAAGGAATGATGGATTTATATAGGATTTTACAAAGTTGGTTGTAATCCCTTATTTTTTGTGATTTTGTGTATTAATT